GGTCCAAAGACCCAAAAAACCGGTGCTCCCCGCCCGAGGCTCCTGTTTCAAAACTTCTTACAGGTTAGGTGTCATTTAAAAAGTGGGACATTACAAGTATTTCAGTTTGCATTGTTTTTTCAGGTTTTGGAATATTTGTATTCATGTAATGAGGTTTTTAGGGATAAGCCCCAAGTCTAAATACTAAATTCATTTAGGTATTGTGTACATTTTATACACATACCTGAAGGTAATTTTATACAATATTTTCAATAATTTTATGTGTAAAATAACATATTCAAATTATGTGCAATTTTCCACTTGTGATGTCATGTTGGCACTCCACAAGTTTTGAGTTTTGGAATATTTCAAGTTACAGATTAGGACTATTCCATGTGGATGTAATATAGTAATCAAGAAAGCAGAACACTGGAAAAGGTATTAAAACAAATTAATAGAACAGAAGACTCAGAAAAAAAACCAACACACACAAAATACATACAACTGACTCTCAAGAAAAGTGCAAATGCAATTTAAAAGGGTATGTTTGAAACATGGTGTGCAGGTTCATTATGGGAGAGGGGAGACATGAATCTAGACTTCACATTTCACATAAAAAGTTAACTAAAAATGTATCAGTCTTAAATCCTAAACTTTTTGGAAAGAGCTCATGGAAGAAAATATTCAGCTCCTAGTGATGGGTAAAGAATTCTCAGACTTTGCAGGACCAGTGAAAGGAAAAACGGATAAGCAAAAATTGGCACTATCCCCTCCATTCTAGCAAAATCCATCATTTGTACATACACTTAGCACCTCTGACAGATTTACCTGCAGACACACTCACTCACTCACTCCCACGTCTTCAGTGCTCATCTGAGAGGTCCCAAGGTCTAATCTGGAGTCTGAGGGCATCAGGTTGGCAGGTCAGCAGGAAAGGCCTCAGTGAAGTCAACCATGCACCTGGAGCACCGCTGGTGATGGCAAAGCTCAGGAAAGCAATGACATTAAGTTATTGAGAGCAGCAGGTGTAACTAAGGGCGTTATGACTACCATGACCAGCTCTTAAATCTGGATAATTATTCTGAGGAATTGGTAAGGAAAGTAGGTATGTATGTGGAGTAAAGCAAGAAAAGTACACTAATGAAACAAGAGTTCCTAAGAGTATTCAAAGACCACTTTGTAAAAGGACCCTCAAATTTGAAGCTTAGAGATAAAATACAACTTTGGTTAGAGGACTACATACAAGTTAGTGACAGTCTGCTGGGTGTGTCAGGAGTAGCAGAATAATATAGTCAAGAACACAAGCTCAAGGCTGAGGCCTTTCCAAGGAAGGCTGGGAAGATCTGTGACTCTGCAGGCCCCCGGGAGCGTGCGAGGCTTTTCCTCTGGGTAACATCTTACAGGAAACCAGGTGTTCTAGACAGCAGGAGCACGAGAATTTTACAGTTGGAGTTCTTACTGTGCAGGTAAGAGAACTGAGTACAGAGGATAAAAGATGTCCTAAGTCCCGAACCATGGTCAGCAAAACATGGAGGACCAGGCCTCTCAATTCTGTTGTACACTCATTTTATCACCCCCTTTAGTTTGTGTTTCTTGATATACACAGCTGTGGGGAAAGCAACTGGTCTTTTTGCCCTTCGAAACAGAGGTGAAATAGTCTTGAAATCCCATTTCTAATTAGGCACTGTCGCACCCGCCTATGACCCGTTACTAGGGGCCCGGATTATCATTTTGTGAGATCCTATCACTAAATAAAATTTTCAAAGGGCTAGGCACTCAGGTCTGTGTCTGCCAAGCAGAAGTGCCATGGATTTAACCCCTGGAATTGGAAAAAAAGAAATCCCAACCTAAGGGTTCTCCTATTCCAGGAGTATCTTAAATACTACTCATTTCTGAGGTGTGGGAGACGTTTGCTGCCCTGGATGCTTGTAAGATAAGGACTTTCTAGTTTGCTACCTCTCCTTACCCCAGACAATCATTGCACAAAAGGAGCCCATATTGAGCAGCCCCCTTATGTACTGAAGGAAGCTATCTTGTTTATATAGTTTTACACTCGCTTGTACGTGTTTTGTTTTCTTTTTGGTACCAAGAACCGCACCCACAACCTCACGCTTGCGAGGCAGGCGCTGTGAGCCACTGAGCTATATCCCCGACCCTATGTTTTGTTTTCAACTGGAAACTTCATCTAGGAACTTTTTTCACAACCAAAGGTAGAAATCAATATACCAACTTTATCTTCAACTACGTAACATATACTTCACTGGTGTTCTTCAGGAGCTGGTGTTCTTCAGGTAGTGATGAGATCATTTAGAGTCCATACTTTCCAGAGAAGAAAATGAAGCTCAGGGGCTGGGGATTTAGCTCAGCGGCACAGTGCCTTCCTGGTAAGCGTGAGGTAGTGAGTTCGTTTCCCAATGCCGGGGGGGAATGAAGCTCAGATGATCTGCTCTGGGGAAACTTTTCAATTCAGTAGTAATTGAAAGTACTTTAAGGAGACCTGCTAAATTTCTGCAGGATTAGTTTCCACATTATGGCTATCCCACCTAGACAACGAAAAAATCCTCATAAAAGCAATGTATTAAATAAATGGCAGTCACAACTGTTTTCTCAAAACCCACTTAAGGGTCTACAAGACATCAAGTGAAAAAGAGGGTTGAACTAGTGGCTTTAATCCTCAGGATTACTGTGTGAGGTCCCACATAAGCATTTTCTTCTCCCAAATGCACCAATCACATTGTCAAACACCACACAAAACACCTGTCTGATTTACACTTGGGAGTACTTTCTGAGGTTTTCAATGTACTCTGAATTTGTGTTATGTATGTTTACAGGAAGTAGGTGGGAGTAAGAGAATACTGCACTAGTATTAAAGATGTATTAGTGCTATTTTGTAACGAAAAAAACCCCAAATAGTCCTGTAAGTTCCCAAGTACTTGAATGCAGTAAAGAAACTATGAGACAGAGTTCATTGGCTTAACAAATAGATGACTTTATTGAGAGGACAAGATTGGTGTTTACCGCCAACCATCCAGGAAAACAAAGCACAGAGACTTTTACAATACTTTGGTTTAAAAATTATTCGTAACATCAACATGAAACCTGGTATTTGAAGAAACAAATGCGACATAAGTGTAAAATACAAACCATGAAAACAAGCTTGTGTAGAGGAACAAAGTTCTTCAAGTGGTGTTTAAGGAAGGCTTGAACACTGCAGTGTGCCTCAGCGTGCTGACCGTCTCAGCCTCCCAAGACACATGACAGCTACCAGCACCATGTTTGTCATCCCCCTCCATGAGGTTGTAAGCAGGAACAACTTGTGCGGTATGAAGGTGAACTGAAATAGCCTAGGGCCATCAGCCTAGTCCAGATGGGTATATGCATACCCAGCACCCACCACTGATCACCTTTAAGGCATCCACAAAGTGTCCCTCAGTTTCACTGAATCTCTAGTCATGTGGTATAAAGTGGCCTCTGCTTTCTGTCCTCACACAGGCAACTATACTCCATCGAGGTTCTGTTAAGCTGTTTCAAAGATGCTTTTGCCTCTGGGGCTTGGCTATAAATCAGTGAGCATATGGGATAACATCTCATTTGCTTTATAAACATATCCATATTCCCAATATCAAATGGGGTCTTAACGGAAAAATGGAAAGTACTCGAGCACTATGTACTCTCTCTTAAGAGATGACTTTTCCAAATTATAAATGACTTTATCACCTTTCCCGAGCCATTTGATTTATGTGACAGCAAACTCGTATTTTTAAAATTTGGCACCTTTTCAAAATATGTATTGTGCTGTGATGCTCTTAGCAGAAAACCCACATTACAAAAAATTCTCATTTTGGAACATCTTTATATACTATTTTCCCACTATCCCATCTAATTTACAGTGTTTCCCGAAATGAATATTTAGTTACCTGTAAGAGGCAGGTAAAAACATAGCTGTTTCTGAGGAGCATCTGGTTTTCAATTTTTAGGAAGGGCTAAAGTTACAGCCCATTGTTACTGCAGAGACTAATTAAATCCGAAATACAAAAATTCTAACAGCAAAAATCCTCTCACCAAATTTAGTAACTAGAAACTATTTTAGCATGTACAGTCTTAAATTCAGTGCAACAGAAGTATGTCCTAAGTATATTAATGTATTGTAGTATATCCTCTCAACTCTTCTCTTCACTGTTCTCAATTCTTGCTCTTTTGTGAAGGAAATATTACTCAAATGTCACATAACAACTGTTCTATTCTTTATATTTGAACCTCAGCAATGAAAAATAAATAGGCTTTAAGTCATACAATTAATTCTTCAATGATCTGAAATGAGCACAGTGCTGGTTCCCACTGCTAGGGGAAGTTATTTAAAAAGAGAAAAACATTTTCTAATTTGCTAAAAACACAATACATAAAACTATATTAAATCTATTGAACATCTATTAAGAAATCTATTGTAAACTATATTAAATCTATCGAGAACACCTTCAAATGTTCTCATCTTTGTATGAATGAGTGGGAGAGAATGGTTTTTAAGGCCAGTTATTTTCACAATCAACACGATTACGTACATGGTTGTGTCACTTTGTGGCATTACACAGAACCCATTAAAACCACTCTAGTGTTGTCCCTACCAAAGCAAAAATTTTCCTAATTTTCTCTTAGAAAAAAAAAAAAAAAAAAAAAAGAATAGAACACTTCACATGAGCAAATCTCCCACTTCAAATAAATATCAGTATTTTGTTGGTTTTCTCCTGTTTTTTGTTAATGGTAAGCATTCTGGTACACAAACGTACTGATGGAATTCTTTCAAGTAGTCTGAATGTCTTCACTGTACAATAGAACCTTTGGAAATATCTCCCACACAGTTGCAATCAAAAAGGACAGTAAACCCCAGCTATTCGGAGAGTGTCACCTGGTATGAAGGACCTGGCTAGAAAACTCTCTCTTCCTCAGCCAGTCTTTTCGGTCGTGTCTGCTTACTCAGGAGACTGACATGATGTGTCTATGAGTGTCACAGTTCAGCCACAGCACAGTGGGAGAACAGGTCCGAAGCTCCAGGTAACGAAGATGCTTTCCTGTTAACACTGCACAGGGCATGTGATCCAGATCCAGATCATCTGTGAATTTGATACTTCAATGAAGACTTCACTATTGCTCACGCAGAGGAAATACACTGACCTCGGTCAGAGTTAAGCTAATTAAGGCAACACTGTTCCTCATGGACACTGTTGGTGTAAAGTGCAGGACTCAGCAGAAGTGACTCTGTAACACTGACATTTCCTCAGCTCACCCTCATTTCTTGACTTCTCTAGAACTGAACTGTAGCATGTCTGCTAACAGCTGCTACGTTCCAGGAGCAATAGCAGCCTCTGGTTCTTCCCGTTAGTAGACTTACACACCATCATAGATAAAAAGGGATCTTCAGTGGAGAATCTGGATCACATGCCCTGTGCAGTGTTAACAGGAAAGTCTGCATTTTGCTGCTCTCTGCCCATATTACTTTTGATGTGCTAAGAAAAAAGTTTTCTATCAGCAGTAGGATAAGCAGGTATGGCTTTTAAGACTCATAGGCACCAACAGATATGAGGGGAAAATGGGACCTTTGAGAGTTGCTTATCTGACTACGAGCAGCAAGGAACAGACATAGCATGTACCTTAAAAAGTCTTTACACTGTTACTAAAAATCCAGGTTTTGATTTTTTATAACTGTTTCTAAAAAGCCTATGCTATCAGCATATGGCACACTATGCATACTGCAATGTACATGAACTGTGTTCCCTTTCGATGCTAATGCTCCCTACACAAATACTACCTTTCAAAGTGGGAAAAAGCCTTTGACTGCAAGCTCTATCCTGTTCTCAGTCTTTCCAGCTGTTTCCACAGTGGTCTCACTCCTTTGTTAGCCTGAAGACTTAGCCAGTCACTGCACTTATCTTCTCGATAGTTCCCGAAGTGATTTTTAGACAAAGGCAAAACTTAAAAATCAAGGCCCTAAAATGTTACCACTTACGTGGTAAACTGAATGCACCATATTATAATAGGTATTTCCAACTTGGCACAAGGCAGATTTAGAAAGATTTGACACTATTAAAGAAAAATAACTATCAGTTAAAAGCTATTTTTACACTATCACGTTGTGACTGTAAAAGACAGAGGTGGAGAACAGTCAGCAATGCATTTACTCAACATCTAGTTCAGCTTCCACTCACAGAAGGGAAGTCCGAGAAATGGGTCGGCTTCAGAATTTTGAGTTCAATGGAAAAAAGGCTCCCGGTCACACATTTTGGAATAACCTGACCTAGATGATAGCAGTTAATGCCATTCTGAAAAGACTGTCCTCCTTGAGGAGCGCATCTTTCCTAATTTAGATGCTTTTCCATAATCAAAATCCCCACATAGTATTTGTTTTATTTTTGCACTTCATTAGTATGTTGCTACTTCCTGAAGTCACTTGAGAAATAGTAATTCAATAATACACAAAGTCATGTTCTAAAAAAACTCTATGTTCTTTTAAAACATATGAACCAACTGTCCAGTCTCCCAAGCAAATAATGATGTTTAACAGTGGCTTGAACCGAGTCAAATTTTTTTCATAACACTGAATGTGACCCTTATGTAACCTCTCTTCCCAGGCAATGATATAAAGTTAGGTGAGGGAGAGAGAGTGTACATGCCAAGATGCCTCAAGATATGGGTCAATAATATACTGTCTTCATTCAGCAATATTGGTGCTAATGAGGCCTGGTCTGTAGAGAACAGAAACTTAGCAACACAAAGGTTTCCCAAGACCAAAACTATTTGTTTACATGACAGCATTTAAGTACAAGACATTACAGGCCTAAAAATTAAATCGTACATGTTCCGAAAGCAGGAACAGGAACAAAATAAATGTTTCCACATTTATATAAAAATGACAAAGTAAGAAGCAGGGAACACAGTGAAGAGTGTCTGGCAGCTCATTAAAATACAGCTGTTATTATTCCTATCATCTCAGAGATAATATTTACAGTTATCTGAATGAAAATGAATGAGGATATAACTGGGAGAATTAATTTCTATCTTCTTGTTCACATGTAAATAATTACGATATGCTTAAAAAAATGTGCTTTTCAAAAAAAATAAAATAAAGATATATTTTATTATTCTTATCTTTTAAAAACCTAAAAAAAGTAACAAACTCTCAATACTGATGTTGAATTGGTTCTCACAAGGGCAACACTACCTTTGGCCACTCACTAAGACAGCGGATATACTAGTACTCTGGTAAAGTGTTACATGGTCTGACATTTTTTGACTGAAGTCTGTCAAGTTAACATTTTACAATAATATGATTGAATGAAGTACATGAAAAAAAAATCAGTTTTTAAAGTAAAACTGATCACTGAGTGAGATATAGAAAAATAAACATTTATAAAATAAAAATATGGCAAATGATGCTGCCCATTTGCCCAAGTTGATATCAAATAAAAAGACAACTATATTTTTCCTTTAGTTACTGTTAAAAAACTTAAATAATGAAGTCAATCACAGGGCAGATAAAGAAAATATAGCATTACGCTAAGTCAACAGACTTACAGGTATTAAAATCACAATGCGTAATTTGGCGTAATGCTAGACTTTTTCTCCCTTCCTCCTTCAATGAAGATTTTCCCACATTGATTTCATCGAAATTGCTCAAAGTGCTATTTTTCCCTTTCCTTCATTTTTCCCAAATGACTACATCCCTTAAGGTTTTCTTATCTCTTGCCCAGAATTTACCTCTCTGGTGCCTTTTACTCAAGTTTCTATAATATAAAATTTAAGAAATTCTTAAAATGAGAGATCCAAATGTACTGTGCGACTCTGTTCTAAATAGCTTCCAGAACATCGCCGAAGACAGCCTGGACAGGTAAGGCAAACAGGCTCCTGTGGGAGGGTGGAGAACTAACATCTTTTTCTCTAGTCACCAGGATGTTTCTTTCCTAAAAACCACACTGAAATGACTAAAATGTCAGACTTGCACATAGAAAAAGAACAGTAAATAAAACTGAAAGAATATATATTTTACACACACACACACACACACACACACACACACACACACACACACACGTCTTGATTGCCAACTGCCGTTTATGTTGATTAAATAGCATGGGCAAATAAACAATTCCATGAATTAGCAGCTAGAAATGGTTCTGAATTTCTTAAGCAGGCCTTCCAACACAAGGAAATAAATGCTGGGCAGCAGCACGGCCCAGAGCAGGTAAAGTGCTGGATTAAGGGAATACGATGCTTATCAACAAATTATAGGATCACATATTCGGATAAAGAATGACTTTGCCTAAATCAAAAAGAAGGTTGCTAAAAACAACCAATATTCCTATGCTCTTTAAGGAAGAGAGAAACTTTTATCTATGGCCAGAGAAATCACTGGTATCTTCACTCACACAATCATATTCTCTTGGCCCTACACATAAATACAAAACGAGACAAACAGATTTTCATTTTTAGTTGACTGTGCATAACCTGAGTTAAAATTTCAAAGAAGCTTTTAATTCATGGTCCACTGACCAGGGTCTTTAGCAAGCCCGGTTACTGACACATCAATTGCACAGTAAGTGTTAGAGAACGGTATCTGGGCCAATTTTCCTGAGGAGTTAAAAGGACACGCAACCACTGCAAGCCATGTATTCAGAATAGTATATTTCAACTACTCCAGATGTTCTTTTTAAAACATGTATTGGCTTTGACTTTTTTCTTTTCCTGAAAAGAACAAAAAAACAAAGGCTCTGGCTTTCAAAGTAACATATACCAGTACACCAAAAGAGCTAGTTCTTATATTCTTTTACTGTGTTGTACCCAAACGCTGTATTTCCCTTTGATTATTCATCTCCATAGAATTTAACTGCTAAATAAACCTAGTCCCTAGATACCTATACTCCATAGCTAACAAAATGGCATTTTATAAAGCTCTTGGATACTACATTCCAAGAAGTATATGCAGTGTAGAAGTGGCCAATATTCAGAAGCTATATTTTCTTATACTGCCCAAGTGACCAGAACAGTGAAAACACTGAAATGAATAGAAATTATTTATAGAGAAAAAAAAACACTGGAAAATAAATCCTAGGAATGCAAACACTGAAGGAAGAATTGTGGAATGCACTGTATATCATCCAGTAATATTTGCTACAAATGAGTCTATTTCAAGGCAGAGTCCAAGTTTTCACTGCTTGTAATGGAAACCTGGAAGGGAGAGAAAAAGGAAACACGGTTAAGGAAAAGAATCTCTGAAACTCAGGCAGCTTTTCCCCCTTGCCCAAGATAATTTATCTTCATTTCTATGCATTTCAAGCGGTTCCTCTTTACTTTATTCTTAATTTTAAAACATCTATATATAAAGTAAATATATTGTTGTAATATTATACATCAAATATATGTCAGGGACTGTAAGACACCCCCCCCCAAAAGTGATGCATGCACAATTTGATAAAGCAATTCTCAGTTAAGTCATGGATGGTAAAAATTTCAGCAATTAATGGAAATCGTGGGAAGTGCGTAGTTTTAATAATGACATTTATGTCTACGGCCATACCACACTGAAAGCGTCTGATCTCCGAAGCTAAGCAGGCTTGGGCCTGGTTAGTACTTAGATGGGAGATAATGACATTTACAATGTCCAACTAACTTTATCTTTTAAATAATGGCTTTTATCTTATTCTCAATAATGGCCAAATATCAGAAATAGAGCAGGAGAAGCTTTTAAAAAATTCAAGTGTCTGATTCCTTACCCAGAGATTCTGATCTGCGTAGGAAGAAATACCATCTATGCAATGGCTTTTTTTTTTTTTTTTGCAGCGGCATTTTTTAATGGCAGTTAAAGGGTAGTTTAAAGAAATTTGGGGAGACTACCATTAGCTTTGGAAAAGAATAACAAAAATATTAACTAAAAAAATCAAAAACTATCAACCAATAAACTCCATGAATTAGTGAAACCCAAATTTTATAAAATCTGCAATCTGCAAACTTCTTTCACATATTTCATCTTACATGATTTTGACAATTCTGAAGCAAATATTCAGACTGCCTCCATTTTGTAGATGAGGATGTTAATATATTTTTATTATTTCATTTTAAATTTCTCATAACAAATATACATAAATTAATGTATATCCTTGGAAGACCAAATATATCTAACTATTCCTTCCATTTTAAAGTTTTACCCTAATGTAAACACCCATATTCTTTCTCCATTTTCTTTATTCCATTTTTCTTTTGCATAAAAATTTTTGTGGTATGTATGTTTTAAATAAGAGACATTTTAAATCTAATTAATACAGTCATAGGCAGATGGGAAACAATATCCAATACAGGTAGAATAGCCTTTATCCAAAATTCTTGCACCAGAACTGTTTCAGATTTTGGAGTAACTCTATAGGCTTTACTGGTTGAGGATCTCTAGTTCACAATCTGAAAAATGAACTGCTCCAGAAGTCTGAAATGCTTCGAACATCACATCAGCATTCAAAATATTTTAGATTTAAGATTTTGGATTATGAATGCTTAACCTGTGTTAAAAAGCAGTACAAAAGATGAAGGTCTATGGAAATCAGTATGGAGATTCCTCAAAAAACTAAAACTGGGGGTTCCATTTGACCTAGCTGTCCTTCTTCCTGGCTATCTTCCTGCAAGAATTAAGAGCATCATACCACAGTGATATATGCATACTCATGTTTGCAACTGCACAATTTAAAATAGCTAAATTTTAGAAACAGCTCATATGCCCAACAAAAAGATGAACAGACTGTTATGGTTGATACACTGTGCCAACTTGGGGAGTCTAGAGGTTTG